CAAAGCTGTATCTTTTAACTCTAGATTCTCTAACACCACATTTCCTGAAAAAGAACAAGAAATTTTGAAGTTAGTATTTTATTTATAAATTATTTTAATTAATTTTATATGTATTTTATTTTAATCAGTAACTGTTAACAAAAAAAAGAAATCGCCCAACATATTATTTTGCGCTTAAAATTGTAATATGTTGTCAATGAGCATAATTATGCACGTTCAAGATAATGCCCGCAAAAACAATTATGACATTCAAAAATTCATGAAGACTGTGCCTATAAAAAATTTGTTATACAACAGTTTTTTATTAAGCTTTGAAGTAGTACCTACAACAGCACACTTATGACACTATGTCAACAAAGAAGCTCTTTATATTTCCCAATTTTCTGTATATTGTTTGCATCTGATAACGATTTTTTAATATTCAATTAAAGTAAAAAAAAATTGTGTTTGTTTTGGTTATTTAGTTTTAAGTTATTATTTTGGATTGAATATATATTTTGCGTTCCGTATTAAAAGATGAATATAGCATAATATAAAGACATCAATATAGCTTATATCATATAAGCATTTAAGTTATATGCTATATGAAAATAGTTGCAAACATTTCATCGACTATATATTTTGATGGATGTATATAGCTATAAATGCTTGTTCATTTATACCCATATACATTCGTCTGACATTTCAAATAAATATGTTCAGAGTATATTTATTTGTAATGTTAGCTAATAGAGCTTAATAAACTCTATATTCTATATAAAGTTTACTTAGCTGGATTAGTTGATAATTTATATATCACTCTTTACATTATGTTGGTATCTTTTCTGGAAACAAGAAAAAATCAGGTACAATTTTATCATTTTAGATGGTTTAAAAGCACTTATTAATGGAAAACACTCTAAAAAGTTAAAAATTTCTATCTAGGGTAGGATAAGTGGAATACCCTTAATACAGCATAATTATCTACCTTAGATAGAAAATTATATCTTAGTTATTAAATAAACTATATTAAAAATCATGATTTGTTGTATAATTTTCTACCTCGAAAGGAAAAATATTTTTACCTTTAAAGATATAGTTTTTTAGAAAAATTTTACCTTACTAAAGGCATATCACATATTCTACCCTACGGTAGAACTTCTTTTTTACAAGTGCAATACTAACAATAAATGTTGTTCAAAAACATTTTTCTATTTTTAATAATAAGTAAAAAACATATTCAGTAAAAAAAAGTTAGGATTTTAATAAATATTTTAAAAATAGCTAGTATATCAAAGCTTCTTAAACTAAAATTCAAAAGCTTGTATATAAATTTTTGTTTTTATTATGCTACATTGCAATTTATATAATAGCAAATAAAAAAACTGAACTTGATACAATAAAGATGATGCAAAAGTCTGCTACCAAATATTGTATCACTAACATACATAAATCAAACAATATTCAATTAAAAAGAGTTTACAGTGTTTTAAAAGAAGATTACAGAATTCTATTTAAAAATCAGTGTATTATATTAAGTTACAGAATTTTATTTCAAATTTTGATTCTAAGTTTAAGCTATGATTTATTATCTATTTTGTTGAATGCAGAAAAACAATATCTCAAAATCTAAGGTTATCTTCAACTAAAATAGATATGTCATGTTATTTATCTTATTTCAAAATCTGGTGCAGTGTATGATGATATACTTGACTAATCTAGCTGACTTTTACAACTGGTGCTACTGCATAACAAACGTTTCTTTTGCTTTAAAAAGCAATCAAAATTTGTAAACTAAATATTTTAAAAGTTGTTGCTTGTAACTTGCGATGTTTCTGCAAATCGCAAATTATTGAAAAGGCATTTTAAATGATTCCTTTATACCTAATCCCCCACATTAAAATAAGACAACTTGTTACTGTCTTATTTAAATATGACTTATCCAACTTAAAACATACGGAAAGAAAAGATATATGTAAGGATGGTAAGTTTATACTGTGGAACGATATTGCTTATAATTTCTATGAAGACAGAGAATGTGGCTTTTGTATTTTACCTAAACCTTTGAGCATATAAAGTTGACAAAATATTTATTAAAAAATGTTAAACTTGCTGCCTAAGTAATAAGTTTTTGCTGTATTAGAAATTTTATTACATTATAGAATAGCTTATTTGAAAATGATTTTCGACACTAACAACCACTTAGTGATTGCAAGGATAACCCATCTTTTAATGACTTAGCCTTCAATAATAACAAAATAAATTAACTAAAAAATTTTTTTAGTAGCTGAAAATATAATGTATTTAACTACATGGGTAATATTAAGTGGTAGTAATATAATATTAAGTCATGCCAAAAAAAAAACATGATATTATTAGATTTGTTCAAAACTAAATATCTTTTATATTTGTAAAATGTATGTAAAATAGTAGTGTTGTCATTATTATTTTAAAATTAAAAAGACTATAACATTATTATTATTAGTCAATCTAGTATTGTTATTTTATTATAAAGTTACTACACCATAAAACTATTAAATATACATGAAGCATTTATTGTACTATTCTAGGAGCTAATTATATACCAATAATATTTTTAAAAAATATGTGGCTATGAAAATAGCTATTTTAGTAGGTTCAAGTCATCTCACTTTCTCTTTAATGTTCTTGTTCCAAAATAGAGGTTGCTTTTTAATTGATGTTCAAGCATAAAAGAGATACTTTTTTAAATCTTGAAAACTTTCAGGTTATCTTTTGCAATGTACAAACTTTTATATAAAGTGTTAGATGGTTCATGCATATTTAGCAGTAAATAAATACGATAAACACTGCTCAAAATACAACTTAGACATGTTAGAACTAAAACCAATTGTAAAATTAGAGGTACTAAAAACATTCCCAATAAGTCATAATAGAATGTTTTGTTTAGTAATGTAGTGGGATACACGCTTCAACGTTATAATATCATTGCTAAAAGAAAACCAGCAATATAAACGAAGACAAGATTTGTTACTTCAAAACATGAAAAAAATGTACAAATTTGGCTAAGTTAGTCTCTGAATTCCTTTAATTAACTTTGTTAATTAAAGGAATTCAGAGTTTTACTCTTAAATTGAACAAGTTTTATCTTTAACTAAAATTTTTTATCATAAATGTTTTATATAAAATCAATTAAACAACTCATTGTTTTTCTGTACTAAACTCTTGAACAAGCTTACTTTTATACTCTCATTATAAGCTGAATGAGTGTTGCTTATTGCCCTGGAAGGCCTCTTCATTTATAATGAGAGTATTATATATGCATATATAATATATATGTAACTATCAATCTATCTATCTATCTATCTATCTATCTATCTATCTATCTATATATATATATATATATATATATATATATATATATATATATATATATATATATATATATATATATATATATATATATATATATATATATATATATATATAATATATATATATATATATATATATATATATATATATATATATATATGTATATATATATATATAAATATATATATATATATATATATACATATATATATATATATATATATATATATATATATATATATATATATATATATATATATAGATATATATATAGATAGATAGATAGATATATAGATATATATATAGATACATATATAATATATATACATATATAATATATATGCATATATAATATATATACATATATACACATTTATACTTTTATACACAAATATAAAATATAGGCTGGTACTGTTCTATCATACTTTGCATACTTGATATTTAAAATACGAGACAGTTTTTCAAAAAAAGAGAAAAATGATAATGGAAAAAAAAAAATTTTTGCTGAATAAAAATCCTTTAAGTATTGTTTGTAATTCTTGAAACCCATACTATCAGTCAATGCATGCACTAAGTGTGATCATAAACTAAATTTTTAAAATGCTAATATGAAAGAAGCTAAATATAGAGCAAATATAAAAAATAAAAAAAGTTAGAAGAAACATTTTCAAAACTATTTTGTGCTTAAAGTGTCAAAATATCCTAAAAAGTATCCCAAACAGTTTTCAAAAAAGTTTTGAGGGCAAGGAAAATCAAAAAATGTTATAAAAAAAAATTTTATAAATTGAATAAATTGTTCAATTGTTTATTGATGAAGTAAATTAAATCTGTTGTAAGTAAATTAAATAAATTAAAAAAAGTAAATTAAATCTGTTGTTAAATTCCTTCTAAACTAATAATAAATATCTTGAGGCAAGTTAGTTTTTATTTATTTAATAAAGCATCTACAGTGTTGGCGAAAAGTATTGCAACTTTTCTAAATTTAACATTTTTATAAAATTCAAAATGAATTTGATGTTTATATATCATATATTCATACAAAAATGATAAAACCAAACAGCAGCACACTATGTAAACATAAAATTATGATGTCATTATAGTTAAACGCGCTGCGTTATAGATTTTTCTTACAAAACCATACTTGGGAATAGCATAGAAAATTTTCATTTTTTTTGCTTTTTGAGAGGTATAGTTTAATCATAATGGGTCTTCATAAGATGGTATGAAGCAGCAACATATTTCTAAGAAATTGTGTTTAACTAAGTCTTCAGTTTGTCGAATAATTAAGAAATACAAAGCTTCCGGGTCAGCATCACCACTGAAACGTTCTGGACGACCCAGAGTAATAACAACACGTGATGACTCTCTACTCCGACACTCTGCAGTCAGAAATCCGACTTATTCAAGTCTTCAAATAAAACTAGACACTGGTTGCGGTGCGAGTACACGAACAATACATGACCGACTGTGTTAATTTGGTTTAAGAGCTCGACGTCCATCCCGCAAACCTCTGCTATCTATCATGCAGTATGTACGTAGACCAGTTGGATCTCAAGATGATATTCATTACACCTTGCCGACAGTTAAACATTTACCCCAAATTATGGTTTGGGGATGTTTTTCAGCAATGGGGTGAGGGTCTCCATACTTTATACCAGCGAAACAGATGGTAAACTCCGTTGAATACCTAAAGATTTTAAATTCAACACTA